CATAGCGAAATTAAGAGATCTTAGAAGAGACAGCAATTCCTTACGATTACAGGAACCGGTTTGGATATACTAGTCGATACTTTTGAGAATGTTATCAATTTTCTCTCTTGGAAGGTTGGTTCCATAGCAATAGTATCAAGGTGAATGCCTAGGAAATGTATTATGGTGTCTGGACCTTCTGTTTTTTGGGGGGTTACTGGTACCCCGAGTGTTTGGAATAGACTAATGGCTTTGTTTTAATAATGTGGGGAAAAGCTGTGTGTGCTGCTTGAATGTCTGTAATATGTACATGTTTGCTGCCTGTATGTATGTATAGTGTGTAGCTGCCTGTATGTATTTAATGTGTAAATGTTTGCTACCTGTATGTATGTATAGTGCGTGTGTGCTGCCTGTATGTATGTAATGTGTATATGTTTGCTACCTGTATGTATGTATAGTGCGTGTGTGCTGCCTGTATGTATGTAATGTGTACATGTTTGCTGCCTGTATGTATAATGTGTGTGTGCTGCCTGTATGTATAGTGCGTGTATGCTGCCTGTATATATGTAATGTGTACATGTTTGCTGCCTGTATGTATAGTGTGTGTGTGCGTGTATGCTGCCTGTATATATGTAATGTGTACATGTTTGCTGCCTGTATGTATAGTGTGTGTGTGTGCTGCCTGTTTATGTAATGTGTACATGTTTGCTGCCTGTATGTATAGTGTGTGTGTGTGCTGCCTGTTTGTATGTAATGTGTACATGTTTGCTGCTGTATGTACAGTGTGTGCATGCTGCCAGTATGTATGCAGTCAGTGCTGCTTGTATGTATGTACTGTGTGCATGTGTGCTGCTTGTATGTATGTAATGTGTATATGTTTGCTGCCTGTATGTATGTATAGTGTGTGTGCTGCCTGTATGTATGTAATGTGTATGTGTTTGATGCCTGTATGTATGTATAGTGTGTGTGCTGCCTGTATGTATATAATGTGTATATGTTTGCTGCCTGTATTTATAGTGTGTGTATAAATACTTCTTTAGTGTTATATTCTTTTATTTTTTTCTTCTTTCCTTCCCCTTCTTTTCTTTTAAATTCCTTTTTATTGCAAAATGTTGTTACAAATTTAAAGACAAAGACAGTAGACTTTTATACATATGAATATTCAAAATTATTTAAATACAGGCTTAATATAAATTGTACTATTCTGCTATAATTACATTTAATTCTTTATATTTTATTATATCACTTTGAAATTACATATATTTGGACATTACACAAAGATTAAAGTTCAATATTGTACATACAAAAACAAAATCTACATAAATAAATATTTAAACATGTACATACATGTTTAATAGTGAGTTCTCTCTTGATCGAGGGATAAGAAGGAAAGGGGAGAGGGTTGTCCTGCACTTCCCTAGACTTCCCTTAGATTTGCATTTTTACTTTATAAAGTATTCATTAGTTTTATATATTCATCCTAAAAAACAGTATATCTGAGTCTTTTGTTGGATTATATTTTTCCATAAGTAGTTGGGAGCATAATTGGTACTGGTGTTTTATCAAACACCAATCAGGTTTAGACAGGTTTTTACAGTTCCTGGCTATAATTAACTTTGTTGCTGTCAGCATGTGTAGTAATAAATTCAATATTTTTTTTTAATGCTAGGTATAGTAAGATGTAAAAGCATCAGATCCGGTCTTAGGGGTATTGTACGTTTTAAGATCTTATATAATTTTACTCCAACATCCTGCCACAGTTCTTTAATAATCGGACATTCCCACCAAATATGGAGAGAATGTCTTTTCCATTTTGTATAGTAAAAAGTTGGATTTTGAAATTAGTTTTTTAGTATCCTTAGTGTTAATGATTTGTTCGAAATATTTGAAATTTTCCTGTTCGTTAGGAAATCTGAGATTTTTCATTATATATTTATATATATTCTTTATTCGTGAGCCCTGATGTTAATTTTAAGTCTAAAAAGGTTCTGATTGTTTCTGGTTTGATTAGACCTGCAACCATTTTAATACCCTTGTCTGACCATGAGAATAAATTTATATCAGACAGTAAGTCGTTTAATAATTCTATTTTGAGAGATGGAAAAATTTTCTCTCTTAAGTCTAGCTTCCGTTTAATTTCATACCAATTTTTCAATAAATGGTTGAAGGAAAGGCTTGTGTCAAAAAAGTTAAATTTTTTGATTGTTTGGTATGGTATCCAAAACTGTGGGGGTACAGATTTAAAAGGGCCTATTCACTTGGATTTTAGTTTATACCAGCTTTCCTCCCAAGATGATTCATTGAAGGTTTGTATTGCATGGGTTAGAAGGTGTGCCTCTGGATTATAACTTAAAAACTTGTTTCGTCTGTTTGTTCATTAGTCCACGGGTGTTCGTCTATTTCCCTGGTTTCATTCACTGAAACGTACTAACTACCGAATGGCAGGCCACCCAGCAGGGAAGTGTGCTGCTTGTTAACCTTTTTGACCTCTTTAACACTGTGGTTAACTGCAGCCACTTCCATCTCCAGAACGGTCGGCTGGGTTGTCGTCGTTCGTATAAACGAACACGTGGTGGCTGCCATCTTAAACGATCGCACGCCCAGCTGTGTTTTGTCGTCAACCGCATGGAACTATTTTTGGTCACAGTTTCACATGAACACTGCTGGGACTTCCAGACTTCCATCATTTTGTTTGGATTCATACGAATGCAGAGGTGTTCGTTACTTCTGAAACTCACGAATCAGACCGACCCTGAGAACTAAAACCCATAGACCTGATTCTGGACAGATTGGGCTGAACGGTTCATGAAAATACTTAAACCCCATGGCGATCTGACTGTGTTCGTGGGATCTGTGCGCTTTTCGGACATATTGAGCGCTCAGATCCAAGCTATATGTGGAACATGGGGGTTTAAGAATAAAGAATACTAGTTATGTATTTTAATGTGTTTTTATTACAGTTTAACTTGGGAATATTATCTCTACCTGGAGATAATTAACTTTACTACAGCCACTTAACCCAATTATCTCTAGGATAGAGAGAAGGGATTTTACCGTTTGTGTGGGAGTGTTTCACATTGTACTGTATTTGTGATTGGCTACTGTAACTCTATTTGGGTCCTTCACAAGGTCCCTGTGGGAGTGTCCCTTGTTGGAGGATCTGCATAAATTCCAGCCTCTGGCACTCATTAAACCAGTCCATGTTTGACCCTCAACACAGAGAATGTATGTTAACTTGGGAATATTGTATGCTTTTATAGTATTAATCTTGCCCCACCGTGATAGTTCTTTTTTTCTCCAAGAGTTTAAATTAACATTAATCTTTTATCAGGGGGAGCAAATTAATCTCCATCCAGCTTTGCAGGTTTGTTAATATTTTCAAGCCCAAGTAAGAGAAATATCCCTTTGCCTATATGAAGTGAAAATTTTCCATGATCCTGGCTTTTTATCTGTGAAGTTAAAAAAAATGAAAGAGCAGTTGTTTTAGAGGTGTTTAATTTGTAGTTCGAGAATCGACTATAGTTTTGTATCACTTCCATTAATTATTTGATTGAGTTTATTGAGATTATTGGGTCCTCCAGCACTATATAAGTACGTCATGCGTAAAGCTTTGTTTTAATGTCTACATTATCTTTGAAGCCCTTAATTGTTTTGTTATTCCTTATCTCGTTTAGTTATATTCAGCATCTAGTTAACAATAATGTTTTTAAACCCCAATTTTCTTTTTTGGTTTGTTGCTTTATACTTACTATTTATTAAAGTTAAGTTTTATGTTTTAATTATATTGGGATCAACATGGGATTCACATATGGATCTAGCCAATGGTTAATATGAGAGGTTTAGAAAAATACAGCTCTCTGTCTCATTAGAGATTTTGCCTTTTAGCCTAAAGAAGCAAGGTGAATTGTTAGTATACAGGTGAGTTTACACTTAAATGGCCATTGGAGTGATACTAAAAAACTCTCCAGTTATTTAAATGTGCATTGGGATTTGGGATAGTGCACAAGTAACTTTTTCTTTGTTTTTTATTGTATGTATTGGAGCTGATGTGTACTATGGTCATTGCTGCCGCGTAGGACTTATTATTGTATGTTTGAATTTTCTTACAGGTGATGATTATTTGAAAAGCTTGTCCAATAGAATTTAAACGAGGCCTAGACTGAACAGAGTTACATATCTCAGAGAGAGATATTACAATTCTTCTATGAAAACAAAAGAATAATCATTTCAGGTATTTACCAAAATGCTTTGAGAGTGCCTACCTAGCTAGTTCAAGATCTGCACTTAAGTCTCCAATCAGGAAAACACAGGATCGGCCCTGTTTAGGCCTATAGTCTCAGGAATACACATTTGTATTTCACACCCTATATTGTTCCTTTAATGATATATAATGTTTCTTTGCAAAAGGCATTTTGTTTTGCAATGAATCTAGTAATGACTTCAATAAATGAATGTCCCTGTGAATGTCTACAATTTTAGTGTACCATTTTAAGATATTTCTAATGCATAGATGAATCATCCATATCAACATTATGTAGCAAAAGTTTACAGCTTGAGTTATCAGCCCATATAAATCCTAACACATCAGAGGTTACGGAAAAATCACTCTTGCCTGCACTCAACATGGCGTACTGCAGCAAGCCAGTAGTGTTTTGTAATATTCATCTGACTATTAGCTGTTCATACAAAATAAAAAGTGAACAAGAAGAGGTAAATCACAACCAGAGGTTAACCCCTCAAAGAAAATTGCATTAATTAGTTAATTAAAATACCTTTATTTTATATATTATTATCACATCAAATCATTTGTACTGTGTAAAAACCAACAAGTGAAAACCCCAAAACTTGAAAATATTTATAATATCCTAAGGGGCTACATGTAAACCCAACCCATCCCTAATATTAAATAACTTCATTACAAGAGTTGTGTATTCACTGCGAGCAAAATGCTTATGACAAAGCAGCTTTTGGTTAAATTTGTAGTAACCAAATCCAGCTGCTTGTCAGAGAGATGGGGGTTGGGGGGAACAGGCTGGGAAAAAGACAACCCGTAATGTATTGGACAAAATATATTTTACAGATCACTATACATGAAAGCTTGTATCCCGCTCATTCACTTGGCAAGCAGCCAATCTAACGTCAGTGGTGATAGGTTCTGAAATTGCTCTAGTCTTTGAGGAGATACAAGTTAGACACAACACCCCACATACAAGGATAACGTTTTCGGTAGGGTTGTAGGGGTCTTGTAAGGCTGTGGTTTTGATAGAAGCAGGCCCAAACATACATTTAGAGAGAGGGTAGAAGTTAAGTACATAAGAGATAAATACTAGGGGGAAGGAGGAATGAAACTTACCCCAGTAAACCACAATATCGCCCCAAAGAATAAAGACACCTAAATCCTAACAATACACCCATCTAGTGACATCAAACAATAAACTGGTTTGAAGTGCATGTTGACACTCCGTCGGGAACCACAAAAGGTATACTATATGCACTATATATACAATAAAGAATTAACTAATACAGGCGATCTTCTTTGAGGGGTGAACCTTTATGTGTGGGTTACCTTTCCTTGTTCAATATTTAATTTGATATTGTAGGGTTAGGCCCAGTGATTGCCTTAGCTTAACACCATTTGAGTGATAAGATTCTTTCTGTCTGCTATTCATACAAAAGCCTAGGGCAATGTGAGAGCTCTAAAGTTACAGTGTTGAGACTACTGCCATGCTAAGAAAGTGTCTAAGAAGTACCCTACAGCTGTAGGACCATCCTATAAGGGCAACATGAAGCTATTCTGGTATCAGATTGGGGATTGGACAGAGCAGAGTTAACTATAAGGTAACACTAGGCAGCCGCCTATGGCCCAGGGGTTAGACGGGGTACCGGAACCATGAATTTATTTGGCCCCATTAACCGTTCCTATGCGAAGAATAAAGGGGAGGGGGGAACTGGTAAACTCCTTAGGGCCATGTGGGATCTGTATCCTTATCTGTGATTGGATAAAAATAGAACAATGTGAGTTTGTGTTCTTACTGAAGCAAAAAACCTAAGGAACTTATGAATTGTTTGTGATGCCAGTATTACTATAAAATCAGTGACTTTTGCAACCTGTATATTATGTAACAAACTACATCAGTATGGTGAATAGCTTGTGGCCCCATGGGGACTTTATTTTATGTAACAACATGCACATTTATCTGGGCTAACAACTAGAACAGAACCCTCTCTGTAGTGGTACAAAAATGAAGATTGACAGAACAGATACGATTGCCAGGACTTCCCAAAAACTCAGAACATATACCGGTATTTGGTCATATCTGCCAATAGAAACAAACTCAAACCTTTAACATATAAAAATAAGTTGTATTGTGAAGAGTAGACAAACTTCTCGTTAACACTACTGTCTTCTGGTCTTTTCCATTTTTAGGCATAAATAATGTTTAGACAAATCATTTATAATGCATCAAAAGCACACTAAGATTTATTTTACTTTACTACATAAGGCAAACCCATTTAAACAAAAGTCTGCACATAACTTCTAAACTAAATTAATCTTACAACTAAATTCAGAAATACATGCCAAGTGTTAAAAACAAGATTGTATGCACGTGTATTAGTCTAAAATATAAATGTAAAGATTTGCTAGAGAATTAGAAAGTGAATCCCTTTACTTCACCAAATGTAATGAAAAAATAAGACCATTCTGAATATTATGCTATTTAGCAGTTCAAACATTGTGTACATTTAACTAAAATAGTCTGTCGTTTACAAAGTCCTTCTACTACACGGCATCTTTCTAGTTTTGCATATTGTTTATTCATTGTCATCCTTTTGAATCAACTGTTGAATCTGAAATAATAAATAGAAATAAAAAACATGAACATTAAATAAATAATCTAATGTACTTCTAAAAATCCGAACTGAGTTATCATTACCTACATTCATGTTATCACTGGCCTGTTTACATAAAATTGGATGAGGATCCTCTTAGGTCTGTTAAACTAAAGCAATAGCTGTTGGGAATTCAAAGAAATTAACTTTAAATTTAAAATTGAATGCAACAATAAGCAAACTGGATTCATTTTGAATTTCTAACAATCCTCCCTTTACATACCCTAGAATCTTCACGGTATTTGTTGGTATCCACTGTACTTCTGTTTAACTCACTGATAAAGTGTGACAGTTTTAGGTCCGGACCCAAGAATTAAGGGCAAATGGAACAGAGACATAAGGGGATGTCATTGTTAACAGTGATAGTTTAAGCAAATCACTTCTTGGCATGACATTTGTCTAATGAACAAATGTTCTAGATGTCATCACTAAAAGGTTTAGAGGTGTGGTGAAGACAGAACATGCCTTTACTCTTGGTGGTCAAGCACCCAGATAAGACTTGTTTGGGAGGGAGCTTTTGGAGTGTTGAGCAGATGCCTGCTGATGAGGCTCTAGCCCTATTCTTGAACAGTCATATTCAGCTGTCCCTACCAACCAGAAGATCTGTCAAAATATGCTAACATATTGAATTTGAATTTATGCTGTAGTACCTATCTGCCTAACCCAAAAATGGAAATCTCCCCATGGTTTCAGGCTCACACTGATACTATTTACAGTATGTGACATCTTAGGACAATTCATGGAAGTGTGTACTGGACACTATCACTGGATTAATTTGAACTCTTGAGAGTATAGCAAGTAACCATGGCATATCGTGAGGTTCCTAACTCTTCTTACAGCAAGATTGTTTCCATGACTTACAGCTCTTGCCTTGAATAACATAGCCTAATCACTCTCTTTTTCTTTTCTGTTCTCATTTGTTATGTCCCCTATTCTTCTTCTTCTACCATCTTTTCCATCCCACATCCTTCCATTATTTATGCAACCTTACACATATACTCCCTCTGGGATGAAGGACTTACATTGCTTATTGTTTACACAATGTTATTAACCTTTGTCATAAAAATTCAAGTTTAAAAAAAAACCATAATGAAAATAAATCGGCAGTTATAGGGAGTTACAATACTGTTACTTACATACACTAGAGGCAGGCTGAACTCTGCCATCTAAACATTGAAGTTTCTCTAAAACTGCAATGTATTAGATTGCAGGTTTAAGGGGACAGGGCAGTGCACCCACAACACGTCAATGAGATGAAGTGGTTTAGGTGCCTATAATTTCCCTTTAAATATGTCTTCAAGATAATTACACAAAAATCTTTTTTTGTTTGTTTGTATGTTTTTAGCAAAAAACTCAGACTTTTGAAGTAAAGTAACCACAATCTAAAAATCCTAATTAAATTCATATATTTAAATTCATGGTTGAAAATAATTTATGGATAAATTCTTAAGGGCTGTATTTGTGCTAAGACTTTATGAACCATTTAATACAGATCATTTTATCACAGATCCAAAGGTATTCTTACTTTCTGAAGGAGATTGTAAGTTTCTGGCTTATCATCCTCTATGGTGATTCTGAAGAAGTTCACATTAAGAATCTGAAGTGACTTCCTAGGACCTGAAACCATGAATTAAAAATTAGAATTTTTGTGTTAAGAAAATGGGAGTTGTGGTGAGATGAAAAACAACTTTTGAAAATGTAGGCTGATACAGATACCCTTTAAGACAAATGACCAGCTTGGCTTAGTTGGAAGTGGCAACTCTTCAGAATTTAGAGTTATGTTAACAATTTCCTACATATGATATTCAAATAATATGTAAAAATATTATCTAGGAATGGTTTGCAATAAACAGCCCAGGGACTGCCACAATCTCAGTCACATTGAACATTTGGAATTAGCATTTCTGCATTGTCACAGGCAATTCTATCCAGCCTGGACAAGAATGATTGGCTGATAATGGTGGGTGCAGGTTATTAGGTATGCTTGTTTTAGAATAGTAACAAATGATGTTGACAGTTGCAAATAAAGTTTGGTTGAATTAATTGGAATTTCAAATTCTTATTATATTTTCTAATTCAAAAAAATGTTTGTTTGACAGGAAATAATATCAAAAGAGTATGAAATATGAACTGTAATATGCTGTGTAAGCTGCAAGGTGAACAAGGGTGGTGCTTGGTGAGAATTCTTTATACCTCCTTTCTGAGGTTCCTTTGATGTATTGTTAAATTCAGTTTCATTTCCCATGGGTGGAACTGAAAAAAAAATAATGAAAACATTGATAGTAGTGTTTCAGTTTAAACTGAACTTAAATAAATATATAAACGTAATATATAGTGTAGCATCAAGATAGTTCAAAGAGTAAGTAGTTAACCAGTTTAATACTATAATACTTAAATACTATAATACTAAAAAGAGTTCACTTTGTTAAAAAAAATGAAAAAATAATGTCATTTTTTTTTTTTAAACATATAAGATGCATTCAGAAAGTATTTGGACCCCTTCATTTTGTGCACCTTTTTATGTTGCAGACTTATGCTACAACTGTTTAAATTGCTTTTTTTCACATCAACCTACACCCAATAACACATGTAATGACAAAGCAAAAGAAAGCAGGTTTCTGAAAACTGCAAATGTATTAAAAAGAAAAATCTGAATTATCATTGACATAACTGTTCAGATCCTTTGCTATTACACTTAAGAACATAGTTCAAATGTATCTCATTTCTCTGGACCATCTTTGAGATGTTTCTACAGTGTGATTGGATTCCACCTGTGACAAATTGAAATGATTGGACATTGGAAAGGCACACACCTGAATATATACAGCCTCAAAGCTGGAAATGTATATCACAGCAAAAACCAAGATATGAGGTCAAAGGAACTGCCTGCATTTCAGACAGGATTGACAGGATTGTGCTAAGGCTACAACAATATTCTAGCTGTATTGAACATTCAAAAGAGCCCACTAGCCGCCATAATTCTTAAATGGAAGAAATTTGAAACAACCAGCATTCTTTCTAGAGCTGGTCGCCCAGTGAAGCTAAGCAATCAGGGGGAAAGGATCTTGGCAAGAGAGGTGACCAAGAATTAAATGGTCAATCTGGGTGAGTTCCAGAGATTATGTGTGGAGATGGGAGAAATTTACAGAAGAGCAACCATCATTGCAACACTTCACTGATCAGACCTTTATAGGAAGACTGGCCAGACGGAAGCCTCTCCTCACTGAAAGATACATGAAAACCAGCTTGCAATATGTAAAATAATCACCTAAAGGACTCTCAGACTGTGAAAAACAAAATTATCTTATCTTATGAAATGAAGACCGAACTGTTGGCATAAATTCAAAGCATCATATCTGGAGGAATCCAGGCACCACTCATCACCTACGCAATACAATGCCATCGGTGAAGTGGTAGCTTCATGCGTTGGGAGTGTATTTCACCATTAGGGACTGATCAGGGTTGGGGGAAACCTGAACAAATCAAAATACAGAGCGATCCTTAATGAAAACCTTGTCTAGAGCACTTATAATCTCCTACTGTGCCAAAGGTTTACCTGCGAACAGTACAATGGCACTAAGTACACAGCCAAAACCTATGGCTTGGGACATATCTGTGAATGTTCTTGAGTGACCCAACCAGAGTCAAACTTCAAACATCTCAGAAGAGATCTGAAAATGGCTGACCACCGACGGTACCCATCCAATCTGACAGAATTTGAGAGGATCTTCAAAAATGAATGACAGGAACACCCAAATCCAGGGATGCAAAGCTTGTTGCATCACACCCAATAAGACTTGAGAGTCAGTAATTGCTGCCAAAAGTGCTTTAACTAAGTACTGATTTAAGGGCCTGAATTCTTACATGAATTTGATATTTAATTTTTTTCTATTTAATATATTTGTGGCGGTGTCAAAAATATGTATGTTTTTTTATTTTGCTTTCTCATTACATGGTATTGAGTATAGAGTGTTGTTTAAAAAATTATAGCATACGGCTGCTACATAAAAAATGTGAAAGAAATTAAGAAAGAAAGAATACTTTCTGAATGCACTGTATATTAGGTTATGTTAATTGAAATCTGGCATGGAAGTATATATTGTCAGCCCATCAGGAAATGCAAAATTTACAGTGTTGCTTTAAAACCCCTTCATTCACTTGTGTGTATCCTACCCCTTGTGTGTTTCTTTAACCCCAATACCCATTTTTCTGTCTCTTAACTCATGTTAAGATGTCTTAAGATAAGATAACTCATGTCTTAACGTGTTTCTTTATAACTCATACGTTTGTCAGTTAACTCCCATGGGTGTCTCTAGCCCTCGGATGTCCATTATGTATGTATGTTAGCCCCCCAAACACCCTATATCCTCCAAGTGGCCAGAGCATCATATGTTTGCCCTCTCCATTCTCTGCATGCTTTAATCCTTGTAATATAAAAACATAATATAAAAATATATTAAAGGGACACTATAGTCACCTGAACTACTTCAGCTTAATGTGGTTGTTCAGGTGAGAACTATAGTTCCCTACAGCCTTTCTTATGTAAACACTGTATTTTCTGAGAAAATACAGTGTTTACATTGAAAGCTAGGAACACCTCCAGTTGCAGTCACTCAGAGTGAACCAGAGGGACTTCGGAGTTGATGGAGGCATAATATGCCTCCATCCACTTAGATCTGCTGTCAGCAGAGCACAGGGCAGCATTGTGCACAGCATCCTGTGATTCAGTATCTCCTCCCTCTGCATGCAGACACTGAACTTTCCTCATAGAGATTCATTCATTCAATTCATCCCTATGAGGAGATGCTGATTGGCCAGAGCTGTGTTTGAATCATGCTGGCTCTGCCCCTGATCTGCCTCTTTGCCAGTCTCAGCCAATCCTATGGGGAAGCACTGTAATTGGATCAGGCTACCTCATGTCAGCAGACTGCTTGTTTTTCTGAGTCTAACAGCATGCAGATTTACAGCTTCAGGCTTGAATAAAGTAAGATTTTTATATTTATGGAGGCATGAGGGGCCCTGGGGGCTAGATGGTAGTGTTAACACTATAGGGTCAGGAATACATGTTTGTGTTCCTGACCCTATAGTGATCCTTTAACTATCTCTTTTTTTAACAAATATATTAGGGAGGTGTGAAAAATAAAATTAAATATAGAGGCACACACCTCTTTATCCTACAGCTTGTACCCTCTATCTCATCTCTCTGTCTTCATTAGTAATGTTTGCCCTTCTCTGAACTGGATTTTGATGTAATTTGCTAAATCTTTAATTTAAATGTAAAAGAAAAAAGAGTATCTCATGAAAAATGTTCTCAATTTTTAGTGTTTCATTCAATGGTATAAATATCAAAGAAATTACATTTCCTCTTTAAATATATATATATATTGTTTCTTTGCCACACAATGCTTTACTATACATTGTGATATGAAATATTCAAAGTTAAAGGAGTGAGTAAATATTTCTAAAGACACCAATTTGTCCTGTTGTCAGCTGATTAGGAATTTAGGGAGTCAAGGGGGTTTTCACTAGTTTATTTTAAGAAAACTTACCAGTGTGCGTTGTTTGGCTGTTATTGTACAGTTCCATTGGTCCAAATATATCAGTTTCTTTTTCAAGACCAGGAAAGATAAGTGACCAAAATATACCAAACAGTTTCTTAAGCTTCTTCTTGTTTCCTCCAATAGTGTTGTTCATTGCCAACTCTGTCTTGTTTGTTTTAGAAATCTGGCTGGTTAGACCAGTTGAGTTCAGTTCTATACAAAGATATTGTCAAATTATTCCTTTATGATGAAAGTATCTTTAACAACTGATGACTGGCAAGATCTTGTTTAATTTGAATCTACTTTCAGTAACACAAGCAGCCATGTTTTGCATTCTAGATGTATTTAGAATGTTTTTGGCACTTTAAAAAAATAATTTTCATTTTGGAATTTCTTCAATTACTATTATTATTATTTATAAAGCGCCAACAAGTTCCGTAGCATTGTACAATGGGTGGATTAAAAGACAAGTATTTGTAACCAGACAAGTTGGACACACAGGAGTAGAGGGGTTGAGGGCCCTGCTCAATGAGCTTACATGCTAGAGGGAGTGGGGTAAACTGACACAAAAGGTTAGGGTAGGTTAGAAAGGTAGGTTGCTAGGATAGTATTCATTGAGGGCTTAGTGTTTTGTTTTGATGACCGTTTCAGGAGAGGAATCAGGCTGAGGGAAAGCTGTTTACAGTTCAATTTATATGCTTTCCTAAAAAAGTACGTTTTCAAAGATTTAAATTAAAATTAATTAAAGACTGTCACCACTCCCCACACTGTCACCACCCCCCCCCCCACTGTCACCACTTCTTACACTGTCACCACCTCCCACACTCTCACCACCAGTGCCACTGTCACCATTCCCCCACTATCACCACCTCCTACACTGTCACCCTCCCACACTGTCACCATCAGCCCCACTGTCACCATCCGTCCTACTGTCTCCATCTGCCCCACTGTCACCACCTCCTAAACTGCCCACACTCCACAACATCCCCATCCCCACACTGTCACCCTCCCACACACACACTGTCACCAACCCCCACACTATCACCCACACACTATCACCCTCCCACACACTGTCACCATTTACTCACTGTCACCCTCCCACACACACTGTCACCATCCACTCACATTATAACTTCCGACACTGTCACCATCCCCCACACTGCCACCATTCACACACACTACCACCTCCCCACTGTCACCATCCCCTCATGCTACCATCACCTCCACCTCCAACACTGTCACCATCACCCCACACTCACCACCTTTCATATTGTCACCTTTCCCACACTGTCGCCCTCCCACACATACTGTCGCCCTCCCACACACACTATCACCCACACACACTGTCACCGTCCACACAAATGATCTATCCCACACACTGTCTCCCTCACACTGTCACCATCCCACACACACTGTCTGTCACGTTCCTACTTTGGTCCCAGGCAGCACAATGTCTTGGGCCGACCTTTTGGAGTTGGAAACATATGAAAAGTCTGAACTGGTTACTAAAATTGTTGAATCCCACTACTGTGTATATACATATGCAAAAAGTGCAGAGACGGACTACAAAATTAATAACAGGAATTGTACAGTTTAGTTATGAAGAAGAAGAAGGTTAACAAATTTAAGCCTCTTTAGTTTAGAAAAACCTCAGAGGGGATAAGATAGCATTTTACAAATTTATCTGGGGAACATACAAGCCATTGTCTGGAAATCTATTCAAAAACAGGACTATACATAGGGCACAAGGTCCTGCGTTTTGACTGGAAGAAAGGAAATTTAGTCTAAGGCAATGAACAATAAGGATGTGGAATTCTCTGCCTCAAAAAGTGGTTTTATCAGAGTCTGGACGAATGAATAAACAACAACTGGTTGCCTTATGCCTGTTAGAGCATTATGGGAGCTGCAGTCCACAACATATGGAGTGCCAAAGGTTGCCTACCCCTGGCTAGGTTATGGTCCTTTGATGTAACCATTAACAAGAAAGTTCCACAGTTAAAGGGACATTCTAAGAACCAAAACCACTACATCTTAATGTTGTCCATCTCTTAAAATGCAAAACATTTATGAGAAACAGCAATGTTAAAGGGACACTCCACTACCCAAACACAAGAAGTAGGTATATCCTAATGAAAACATGCATGCATTCAATTTTGCATTTTTTTCTTTGGTTTGCAGTCTTTGCAAGCCCTCCCCTTCTAACCCTGCCCAGACTTTCTGCAGCTCTCCAATCACAGACTTCCCAATGTAGCTCAATGAAAAGGCTTTGCAAGGCTAATCAAAACAGGAAATAACAAAACCTGTTGACTGATTGACAGCCATGGAATGCAAGATGGTTAACTTACAAAAGTGCCAATTTCTAAACTTGTTCTTTTTGGAAAACAAGACACTCTTTCCCACATAAAGCACTTCAGCAAGCTAAGGTGCTTTCAGTGTATGGGATGTACGTTTAACATTTGGTTGAAATCACTCCTCTAATTCTTGTCATAAGGAAGCATTAAGAACAGTGCTTCTCTACAAGAACAATTGAATCAGAGGAGCAGTAGACTAGATTAAGATTATCATGATTGATGATCTCACTGTGGTTGGGACGGGCTGCAACAAGGAGACTGTCTTAATGCTGGGTTACAAGTAACTTTTATGACTTATTTAATCTTTTTTTGTTACAAATGGGGAAACAGTAATCCATGGACATTCTAACATTATAAATGAAATATATCTATTTTTAATATTAGCGTGTTCCTGAATTCCTGAGAACCATGACATATCAGTGCTGAGATGTCTCTCATCTTGCTAGTACCTGATGTTGTTGAAAGGAAATTATTGGAAAATGTGTTGCTTCTGGTAGGCAAATTGATGCTTGGACTCTGTGTAGCTCTCTCCGTGGTTGTATTAACTGCAGAAGATCCCGTAGGAGCTAAAACACAATTTTGCTTTAACATTTGTTTCTGGAAGTCTGGTGTTACTATTTACTACAGTATTCAATTCAAATCTATAGATACATGCACAATCAGTAAAAGAATGAGTAAACAAAGTAACAAGTAAAAGAGATAAAAGTACCTTACAGAAGAAATCTGAATACATTGAGAATTTTTCTCTTAGAGGTGTAGCTGTTATTATTACCCAACTAGTTTGTACTCATTATAATGACCTTCTAAGAATGAAAGGTAAGTAGCAACATTCAGGGTTAGCATGACAGGAAATGTAGTCCACAAATAACAAACAAAATGTAACCTGCAAACAGTTTATTAAGGCATTTGTGATTATCCAGTGATGACCAGTTTGCATCAAGGCAATTCAACTCTCTGCACTACTCTGACTTGATATTGACTACTGTTCCAACTCCTACACCATATCACCTACGAATCGATACTACCTTCTGCTCCCTGACTAACTCCATATTCATGCTCCATTAACATGTTCTCAAATACTCTACTTCCTCTCCAAATCCATTGTCCCCTTGCCAATCTCTATATTAGTCTATATCCCCTTGCCAATTACAGCTCCATGACCTCTCATGATCCCATTACTTCATACCCACCTTCAAAAACACACTTCACTTCATGCCCCTCTAATTTCTAATGCCCCTCTTTCTCCACCTCTATTCTTTGTTGCCCTTTTACAAATCTGCTTCTTTTCAACATGCCCCATCCCCTCATTTGAAATTGTCACTTTCTAAGAAGTAACACTGTTCCCCTACCTATGATGCTTCAGGCACCCACAATGTGTTCTACCTGAATCTATCAGGGAGATGAGTACACATGCATGCTTCCTCAAAATGTTATCCATCATTGCCTTATGTTTTGCAAGAGTTAACTAATTTACATACATTGTCCAGCACTGCATGTAAATTCATATTGACTAAACTACGAAGAATTTTAAAAAATTATATCGCACAAACAATACCTATACAATTTCGGCCTTGATTTAATATTTTTGGTTAAGCTTTTTAAAGGAGCTAATATTTTGAAAATAGTTTAATATTTTCGTATTTTTGATGCATTGGTATATTATTTATATATATATATATATTTTTATGTTTTAATATTTTGCACAAATCAAGGTCGTGACTGGCCTTGCCTCTTTAAGCCGGTTACAATAATAAAAAAAAATTACACTATCAAAATGATTATTGTGAATTAATTTAAATGAGTTTCATTAAGAAAGCTGAGCATATATTTGAATGTTTCTTGACAAAGTTTTCTAAAGTAACTTTTTGCTATTAATGCTTGTGTCATCACTAATACTTAAAGAAATAACAAAAAAACATTTCTAGTACAGGTTACCTCTTACAATCCATCCAAACCAAAATTAATTTTTTGTTAATCCAAACCACTAATAAGAAACCCCTTAAAGAAGTTTCAATCTCAGGTGTTATGAGACATCTCTCTTCAAACCAACATATTAGAATAGGATGGCAAAATTATACCCCATAAAAGTCTCACATCTCCTGAGATAGAAAACCTTGAGTAAATAATTGTCAACAAAATTTCTATAGATTGTATGCCTTAATACCAAAATGACTGGGCATTTATTAATAAAGAGGACTTGGAGCAATCATAAGCCAATAAATAAATAACAAGTACCTTCTGTAATTTGAGATGTCTGCAATGTCTGTGCTCTTTGTGAGACAGTCCCGATTGGGGTTGGTGATGTGTTGATGAATCTGCTAGTAGCCAAAGATAGCAGACCACTTCCTGTTGTAGATGATACCTGTAAGACAACCGGGGGGCTGTTCTGAAATATCATCCCTTGATCTGCAGCAATTTTGGGGCCAGTGGGTGCTAAAGCTGAAAAAAATATATATATTTGTCATATTTGTCAGATGCTATTATATTTTATTCTAATCTATTCTATTTTAGTATACAAAATGTTAATCTAACAATGGTTAAACGATTGACTTTGCAAATACAGTATTGTTGTGCATGTTTTTGTTCAGGTATACCAGAATTGCTTACCTGTGGTAAGTGTACTGGTTGATGTAGATAAATTGCTGATTGACGAGTATGGATCCCCAGCTGATTTTGTAGTTAGACTGAATGTATTGGAAGATGAAACACCTAGTGTAGATATTATTCTTGATGGGTTAGTGTTTAAGGTTGCACTCGATGAAGTAGGCAATGAGATTATAGGTGATGTTACAGTATTGTTTACTGTACTGGGGGGTTGTAAACCCATTGTTGTTGCTCCATTTATACCAAAAGATTGCATGGCAGCAGTAGTTCTGCTGGTATTAAACATGTTGGGGAAGGATGAAGTAGCTGTTGTTGTTAGAGTGCTAAATGAGACGCCAGGGGGATTAATAGAAAAAGGGCTCATGCCTAAGGAAACTGCAGATGTTAGACCATTACTTGGTGTAGTGGGAATTGTTGTTGTTGACCACGAAGTTGTTATGCTGGATATAGCAGGTGTTGTTCTTATAGTGCTTGGTAAGACATACGGTATTGCAGATGTTATATTTGTTACCGTAACTGCAGATGTTAGAACACTAGTCGGTGTAATGGGATTTGCTGTTGACCAAGAAGTCGTTATGTTGGATATAACCGGTGTCGTTCTTATAGTGCTTGATAAGACAGATGGTATTGCAGATGTTATATTGGTTACCATCACTGCAGATGTTATATTGCTTACCGTAACTGCAGATGTTAGAACAGTAGTTGGTGTAATGGGAATTGCTGTTGACCAAGAAGTCGTTATGTTGGCTATAACGGGTGTCGTTCTTATAGTGCTTGATAAGACAGACGGTATTGCAGATGTTATATTGGTTACCGTAACTGCAGATGTTATATTGGTTACCGTAACTGCAGATGTTAGAACACTAGTTGGTGTAATGGGAATTGCTGTTGACCAAGAAGTCGTTATGTTGGATATAACCGGTGTCGTTCTTATAGTGCTTGGTAAGACAGACGGTATTGCAGATGTGGTTGGGATGTTGGCGGGTAGACTTAACCACGGTGGAGTAACCACGGTGGAGCTGTTCCCAGGCATTGATGAAGTGGTGGTTATTGAATCAAATGACCCCATACTAGAACTGGTCATGTTCATATCAGATCTTGATGCACTGGGATTAACTTGAGCAGTAGTGGTTGTACTGGTCACAGAAAATATAAAGTTGCTAGTGGTATTAAAGATTACTGAGGGTGTAGAAGTTGTTACCACTGTAGATGTTCCTATGGTGGAAGATGCATTGGTCATAAGGTTTGATACCATTACAGGTGTTGATGCCACAGTGCTATTGATTACTAATGTAGACAGTTTGATAACAGGTGTTGTGAGGCTACTGGTAGTATTGGAAGGTATTACAGGTATAGCTGTCACATTGCTAGTGGTTACCTCTTTCAATGTTGCAATGACAGAGGTTGTATTGATAATAGGTATAGTAAGGCTGCCTGAGGCAACTGAGATAGTTAAGGGTCCAGCTGTTATGGTGTTATTAGTCACCACTGTAAATGGTCTAATGGTGGAGGTTTCATTCATAACAGGCAATGTGAGGATGCTGGTAATATTGAAAGGTATTAAGGATGAAGCTGGCACAGTGATATTGGTCACTGCTGTAGATGGTCTGATGGTGTAGGTTGTATTGATAATAGGTGTAGTGAGACTACTAGAAGGAACAGAGTTCATTGAGTTGAATGGTGCATTGACTGCAGGTGTAGTGAGGATGCTGGTAATATTGGAAGGTATTAAGGATGAAGCTGCCACAGTGATATTGGTCACTGCTGTAGATGGTCTGATGGTGTAGGTTGTATTGATAATAGGTGTAGTGAGACTACTAGAAGGAACAGAGTTCATTGAGTTGAATGGTGCATTGACTGCAGGTGTAGTGAGGATGCTGGTAATATTGGAAGGTATTAAGGATGAAGCTGCCACAGTGATATTGGTCACTGCTGTAGATGGTCTGATGGTGTAGGTTGTATTGATAATAGGTGTAGTGAGACTACTAGAAGGAACAGAGTTCATTGAGTTGAATGTTGCATTGATTGCAGGTGTAGTGAGGATGCTGGTAATATTGGAAGGTATTAAGGATGAAGCTGCCAGAGTGATGTTGGTCACTGTTGTAGATGGTGTGATGGTGTAGGTTGTGTTGAAAATAGGTGTAGTGAGACTACTAGAAGGAACAGAGTTCATTGAGTTGAATGTTGCATTGATTGCAGGTGTAGTGAGGATGCTGGTAATATTGGAAGGTATTAAGGATGAAGCTGCCAGAGTGATGTTGGTCACTGTTGTAGATGGTGTGATGGTGTAGGTTGTGTTGAAAATAGGTGTAGTGAGACTACTAGAAGGAACAGAGTTCATTGAGTTGAATGTTGCATTGATTGCAGGTGTAGTGAGGATGCTGGTAATATTGGAAGGTATTAAGGATGAAGCTGCCAGAGTGATGTTGGTCACTGTTGTAGATGGTGTGATGGTGTAGGTTGTATTGATAACAGGTGTAGAGGGACTACTAGAAGAAACCGAGTTCATTAAGTTGAATGTTGCATTGATTGCAGGTGTTGTGAGGATGCTGGTAATATTGGAAGGTATTAAGGATGAAGCTGCCACTGTGATGGTGGTCACTGCTGTAGATGGCCTGATTGTGTAGGTTGTATTGATAATAGGTGTAGGGAGGCTGCTGGAAGGCGCAACTGTCACAGTGGTATTGGTTTCTAGTGTTGACAACCTTATGGTGAAGGCTGCATTGGTCACAATTGTAGTGAGGCTGCTGGTTGCCATACTAGGGCTGTTTGGTGACACTGTAGTTGTCTGTTTGGAGGTTGCATTGATTACAGACATGGTGTTACTAACTTTCTCTAAATTTGGGGCAATGCTAGTAGATGTATTAAAACTGGATGTGGATATTGAAGTGAAAAAAATTGTACTCGGCTTTGGTGCTCCAGTACTGTTTGTCATTATGGGTGCAGTAGTAGTTGTGGATAGTTCACTGGTTTTGAATGTAGTTGGGTTGGTGGCAGAAGAACTTTGTATGGTACTCTTTGTGGTTCCACCTAGAAAATGAAAATTGTAGACATATTTTAAAAATTGTTAAAAGTTTAATGTTGCAACTAAAAGTATTGCAAGGACAATCATCTGCCAAAATATAAAATAATAATAACAATGTGTTTATCGAGGAAAGGTACATTCAGATTAGTCTGGTGTCCAAATATGTCCTGTGGATGTTGCTTTTGCTCAATATACAGGGGATGTTACTATGACCCAATTTAATGGTACTCCTAATAACAATTACAGTTTAGTAGATATACCCCCAAATGAATACATGCATGCATTATGCTTTTTTTTTTCCATTGGATGTATATCTAAAAACATCTTGCAAAAGTGGCAGATCTCTCTGGTTGTCCAATCACAGACTTACCAATGCAGCTCAATGAAAAGTATTTGCAAGGCAAGTGCTCTAGTGTTTAGTTCCGCTGAGCAAAAAGATCAGGAAGCAATAGGACTGAATGTCTGATTGGCAGCCAGGGGGTGTAACAAGGTTGGTTTATAAAAGTGCTAGTTTCTGCTGTAATATGCAGTTTTTTGTTAAATGAAAATAAAAAGAACAAGCTTTTCACAGAAAAAGGATTTCAGTAGGCTAAAGTGCTTTAGGGGTCTGAAGTGTCCTTTTAAAGGAACACTATAGTTTTAGGAATACAAAGTTGGAAAAAGTGTTCTTCTGCCCCCCTCACCCATGACCCCTCCCTCCCCCTACTCCTGCACTGAAAGGGTTAAATAACTCTCAAGTGCTGGGTCCTCTGGCATTGTCTCCATTGCCACTTTTTTCCGACATCAGAGCTGATAGGGGCAAGCACCATGCACATTGAAGATGCTGGATGTCCTCATGCAAAGTGTGAGGACGTCGAGTGTCATTTCATAGAGTCCAACTCTGAATGAGCAGGAAGCGCCTCTAGTGGCTGCCTGGCTGTATGGTTTACATCATGTAACACTAGTTTCATGCCTTTGACAAATAAGTTTTCAAAGTGCACAAAAATGCAAATTAGTAAATATTTGCATAGATGCATGTTTTCAGATTAGCATATTTACTAATACTAATCTGTACCAAACTAATTATTTAAAATGAAATACTAGATATAAGAAAAAATGCATTTCAGAAGATGCACTTTCACCCAACCTCACTATAGTTCTCAACAATGTTGCTAAAATGTAAAGGACTGGAGTGCACAACTGAAAATAATTAAGCACAAATTAATAAATATGTTTATATATATATATATATATATATATATATATATATATTAGCCAAAATCCCCTCCTTCCCTTTCTTACACATTTTCTTAACTATGAACAGTTGAAAGGAACCATAGTAAAGACTGACTTAATGCATCAAGACAATTCTATCAACAATTCCACGTAGTTTCAAAACCAGCCATAATAGACAAATTGACTTGTCATGCAATTAAGGTAGTCTCAATAAAGTTACTTGTGTCATGACTTCAGCTTTAGTGCATAACCCTGGAAATATAGATCACCATATACATGAGGAAATATGAAAAAAAAAAATAATAAATAACTGAGAACATACATGTCTATTTCAGACTATGTAGAACAGGAGTGCCCAAAAGGTAGATCCCCAGATCTTTTAAAAATACAGCTTCCATGATGCTTTGTCATTCTAGAGGCAAATGCAAAGCATCAAGGGAATTGTAGTTTTACGACATCTGAGGATCTACCTCCTGGGCACCCCTGATCTAGAAGGTTATCCACTAATCTGTGAACCGTTGAGAATTCAAAGTAAATTGAAAGTGTATTTCAAATTTTAGATCACAATAGCCAAACTAGAAACAATTTTTAAAATCACTTTGAATTCATTATGAGCTCTTCAAAATAAAAAGTTTAGTTGAAGACTCTGATAGTTTTGGTTGCTCGGCTACAGCAGCATCTTGTGGTCATCTATAGGTATTGCAACTATGTAATTTTAGATTTGTTTTCCTGCGAAGTTAAATCAGCCAATGACTATTATTTAATAGTTGAATAGCACACACAATGCATTTGGAAGACACCAAATTGTTCAAGATTTTGCTGAGGTTAAAGCGGCACTGCCATGCCGAACTTACCTTTCTTTAATCGATTCCTCTTCTCTCTCTCTGTCAGGATCTGTTCTTCATTTCTTCCTGTCTGCTCTAGTTTCCTTTAAAACATAAGACAATGTAGGGACTACTTTGTCTTATGGAGGTTTCCTACGCCTGAACAGCTATGACCAGCGGTAGAGCAAACTGTGCTTTGTTTCCAGTGATCCAAGCAATTTTCCCACAATTCTCACCTTTGATCCGAGATCTCGCAATGCTTCCTGTCAGTATTCCTGAACATCCTGTCACTTTAGACAGAACGCCAGCGAAACTACCAAATTGTGTCCTAACAGAATGAGAACAGTTTCTCTATTCATGTTAGGACGCAATTCGGGACTTTATTCGTATCGGAATTTCACACAGAAAGACAGACATACATTTACATGCACATGCTGACATACATACATACATACATACATAAAAATATACATACATACTGACATACATATATACAAACACATACATACAGACATACACACAGACAGACAGACACATACTGACATACATTCTGTTAGGACGCAATTCGGTAGTGTGACAGATCCATCTGTCTTTAAAATAATTTTATTCCGCTTGGTTTGTCTGTTTGTTCGGGTAGTTGCCTGTCCATACACCTCGTTTGTTTATTTTCCTAACTACCGAATGAACGGCCGAATGGCCGGCCACTCAGCATGGACGTGTGCTGCTGGTTAACCTCTTGGCCTCATAAGAATGTTGTGGTTAACCGCAGACACCTCCTAATTATCAACGGTATGCTGGGTGGTCGTCGTTCGTATGCCGACCATGAGGAGGCGGCCATCTTGGACGCACGAATGATCAGCGGTGTTCGTCGATGATTTCCTGGAACTGAAAACGGACACTATTTCTCCTGAACACCGCTGAAACCGCCGACCTCCCTTCCCTGCCTTCCAGCATATGAACGCCGGTCCGTTTAGTATTTTTCTGCACGAAATGACTTAACCCAGATAGCCATCCCATGGAGCCCATTCGTATACCGAAAGACAATGTGAAATACTTTGGCTCCATGGCGATTGAACTGTGTGTAACACACTTTTGGAGTATTACTACATATACCCTATTTAAGCAATTTTCAAGAATGACTTAGGTTCCCATGTCCTGTGTGTGTTTTACCTCACATTTAAAGTCCTGATAGAATGTTTCTCAAATGAAAACTTCTTTGATTATCATAGTTTGTCTGCATCAGCTTACTAATTACTTTTTTATTACCACTGCATACTTATGATTTTGAATATATTAGGAGATTTCGTATAGGCTGCATCAAGTCTTTCCTTTTTAAGTATCACCAGCACATTTGATTTTGTGTTTCACCATTAATTCACATTTTAGTATAACTTAATAAAGATGTATTAGGTATTTTAACTTCGTTTTCTCAGCTCTTTGAGTCATTCCCATCGTTGTGGGTACACCGTGGGAAACTGATGGAGGAATGGTGATTTATCTTTACCTCTTTCAGTCTTCTACGGTAATCTATTTTCTCATCTAATTAATTTAAGGTTTATGACCATTATTACCCACTAAATTCTTTCTGTTATTGACTTTTGGGTCAATTTCAGGTTTTTTGTATATCTATTTTCAAGAATCAATTATATTCGTGACCAAGCATTGTTAATGAAAGATTTTAAACAATTATATTAAACGTTACATTTTATTTGAGTTACTCTTTGCACAAAAGGGTTTATCTTCTAAATGGTTAACTCTTGTGTTTCTTTTGTTTAATAGTGAATTCTACTTGGGGGAATCCCCCTTCCCCCCCCCTCTTTCATTAGAGTAACCGGACACTTTCTCCCTAGAAGGTTTCCTTTACATAGTGTTAACAACATTTTCAGATGGAATTCTGTTTGTCCAAATCAATATTTCTTTCTTTATATGCTGTTTAGTGCTTCTACGAGATAGTCTGTCCATGTAACCTCAAATCTGGTACTCTGTGATATAATTTAAGGGGAGAGTGAAGTTCTCTGATGATCTAATAGATTTCACTCAAAGTGGATGCAATGTATGTTTCTCTAGAGAAAGAATAACAAATGTGATCATAACCAAATTCTATGAAGTGAACCTTACATCCAGTGGACTTTCTGCTTCCAGTATCTATCTAAAACACCATTTTGTTCTTTTTACATAAACTAGATTTGGACAAGAGTATCCATCAGAAGCCACTAGTTTGGTCTCGTTTACCTCCAAATGTAAGGTTAGCCTTCACTGTAGAACCATGCCAGAGGGAGATGGAATATTTGATATATTGGATAAAAAGGAGAGTCATATTGGTGACATATTCAGTTGACATTATCCCTATAAGAGGAGGTAAAGGAGGTATCAGCAATATTATAGAAGGCATGACTTTCCCTACTTTCAATAAAGAGTGATTTTCTAGATCAGGGGTGCCCAAAATGTAGATCCCCAAATGTTTTAAAACTACAGCTTTCATGATGCTTTGTCATTCTAAAGGCATGCAAAGCATCATGGAAGTTGTAGTTAGATTAAAGTCTTGGATATAAAATGTAACACCTAAAACCTCTGGTACTAACAGTGATTACTTACTGAGGGCACTACAGGCAGCACCAAAATCAGGGCAACAGTCAGAGTTTGCAGTACAGTAATCATCACAGTAGCAGTCTACTCTTCGACATCCACTGTTCACACCTTTGCAGCACAATACGGGACTTGAACTGCAACGTCCTAGATAAGATAGAACTTTCTTTAGTAGAGAACAAATATTTTTTCTACATCCCATTTATATTACTGTCCCACTGACTAACACATATAACTTAAAGGAGAACCATTAATTCTGCAGGAAATTACACCATCAAATAAAATATGAAAGTTACATAGAACTTGTGTTAACCTTCCTAATGTGAGGAGCAGTTATCTTTTAAATATATGTATATATACATACAATTCTTAGAAGAGGAGAAACAAAAAACAAATGTATTCTTGAATGTCAGTTTTCTAGAAATATAATTTCTCTAGAATTTACATAATTAAAGAAAATATTGAAAATTAGCTATAACCTGTATTAACCTTTTTTCCTGAGATGCTTTCTTTTAAATTTGTATTAAGCATTTATCAAATTACATCATTCATAATCCAGTTCAGAAAAGGCAAATACAGTGCAAACATTTTAAGTAAAAAAAAATTAGAAACATTATTTAATTCCTCCCCTTCTCTGTATACTTTCTATATACTGACTGCCGAGCATAGGCGTGCACAGCCTATTGTATATGGGTGTGCACCCTAAAGCAGAAACACACACGCCGCGGATATATATATTTATATATACACATATATACATATATACACATACACATACATACACACACACACACACTGCTGTGTGTGTGAGGGTGCTGTGTGTAGGTGCTGTGTGTGAAGACGCTGTGTGTGTGCAGGCGCTGTGTGTGTGTGTGCGGGCGCTGTGTGTGTGGGCGCGCTGTCTGTGTGAAGGCTCTGTGTGTGTGTGAAGGTGCTGTGTGTGTAAGGGTGCTGTTAGTGTGTGCTGTGTGTGTGTATGTGTAAGGGTGCTGTTAGTGTGTGTGTGTGTGTGTGAGGGTGCTGTGTATGTAAGGGTGCTGTTAGTGTGTGCTTTGTGTGTGTGGGTGAGGGTGCTGTGTGTGTAAGGGTGCTATGTGTGTGAGGCTGATGTTAGTGTGTGTATGTGTAAGGGTGCTGTGTGTGTAAGGGTGCTGTTAGCGTGTGCTGTGTGTGTGTAAGGGTGCTCTGTGTGTGAGGGTGCTGTGTGTAAGGGTGCTGTTAGTGTGTGCTGTGTGTGTGTATGTGTGAGGGTGTTGTTAGTGTGTGTGTGTAAGGGTGCTGTTAGTGTGTGCTATGTGTGTGTGTATGTGTAAGGGTGTTGTTAGTGTGAGGGTGCTGTTAGTGTGTGCGTGTGTGTGTGTAAGGGTGTTGTTAGTGTGTGCTGTGTGTGTGTAAGGGAGCTGTGTGTGTGAGGGTGCTGTGTGTGTGAGGGTGCTGTGTGTAAGGGTGCTATTAGTGTGTGTATGTGTAAGGGTACTGTGTGTGTAAGGGTGCTGTGTGTGTGAGGGTGCTGTTAGTGTGTGCTGTGTGTGTATGTGTGAGGGTGCTGTGTGTGCTGTATGTTTGTGTGTAATGTGTGGGGGTCATTTAGTTAATATCCCCCCTCCCTTCTTACCTTATGTAGGAAGGGGGGACTGTGCTGTTGCCATCCCTAGTGGTCCAGTGGTGAGTGAACTTTATCCCCGCAGGCTGTGGGGCTAGAGTTCACTCTCGCGGGATTTGAGCGTTGCCGCGATAACTGCGGCAACGCTCCGACCGCGCGAGAGGAACCCGGCGGAGCTGCTGACAAGAGCTCCCCGGGTCCTCTCCTGCCTCCCTCCCTGCCTGTGGGTCGGTGAGGGAGATCTTTGATCTCCCACACTGGCCCACAGAGGGAGGCACATAACGCGTGCCGTGTGGATTAGGGTGTGCCTAGGCACACCCCGTGCGCACGCCTATGCTGCCAAGTGCAAAGGACAGAACATAAAACAAACATTAACAAAGGGCTAATATGGAGGCACCCAGATGCTGGTTAAAGAGACTTGAATCTACATTTAATTCTATTTTTCACACCTTGCAAATTCATATTTGTTAAATAAATAAGGGGATAAGTAAACACAATATTAACAATTCATGGAAAGTGACAGTTCAACAGTGGAAGGTACAATGGCAACACAACTCTTTTTCTACTTTTGCTCTTTTAATTAGGTTTTGTATATCTTTTTAACATTTACCAGAAATGTGGCTTAGTAGACAAGTAAAACAAGAGATTACAACTAAGAAAAGGGCATTTAAAGCATTTAAATCGGACAAATCAGATGCATTTTATAAAAGATATAAGGAAGCAAATAATGCGTGCAAAAAGGCAATTAGACTTGCTAAACTTCAAAATGAAATAATGATAGCTAAAGAGAGCAAAACCAACCCCAAAGCATTTTTTAAGTACATAAATTCTAAAAAGTGTAGGTACACTAAGAACTGAAACGGGGGTGTTAGTTAATGAGGACCAGGAAAAGGCAGGAATTTTAAATAACTATTTCTCCACCGTATATATTAAGGAAGAACCCATGGCAATAGATGTGCAAATGTTTGCTACTAAAAACTTGCAGAATAATTGTAATTGGTTAACTCAAGACAAGGTGCTGCAGCAACTAAAGAAAGTTAATATAAACAAAGCTCCAGGGCCTGGCGGTATCCATCCACGTGTACTTAAGGAACTAAGTGTAGAAATAAGTGAACCTCTGTTTTTAATCTTTCAAGATTCTTTTCTTTCAGGAAGTGTCCCGGAGGATTGGAGGAAGGCAGATGTGGTTCCTATATTCAAAAAGGGTTCAAAATCCTTGCCTGGAAATTATAGACCTGTGAGCTTAACTTCTGTAATGGTATTTATTAATTAATGACTTTTTGTCATAAAAAAAAGCATAATGAGCTTAATGCTTTAGACGCACCACTAGATGTCAGTAAAGCATATTTAGTGTAATGCTTTGGGGGCACCACTAGGGGGAGTGTGTAGGAAGACCTGTGCTTCTGGCAGTGACATCACAGGCCAGCCTACTTACACTGAATAAAAACCAGATGTTAGGAGAAGCTAGCTCTCTCTTTTTGCCTGTACCTGACTGATCATGTAGTACCAGCTCTGACTTAACCCCAGCCAAAGGGCTGGGGCCTTGTAAGTAAAATGTTGTGTAACATGTAGCAACCTTTTGTAAGTAATATGTTGTAGTTTTGTATTGTATAATTATTGTAGGAAATTGACATTCTGCTTGCATCTGTTTATTTATTATAGTAATATTTAATATACATTTAATATTACAACGTTTTGTGTATTTTCTATCCACATATTCGACCATAATACCATGAATTATAAAAATATTAATGTTGTTCCGTATTGCTTAATTATTATGTATTAAGAGATTAATATTCATATTTAGGTCACGACCACAACATTTGGCGTAGTCGGCAGGATTATGCTTGAATATTGGGGAAAATATAAATGTTATGCATTTTGCTTAAATAATACAGTAAATTGTCTGTCTGTATACAAATGAATAAATGAATGATGATTTGGTTTTAATGGAATGAATGCAGATAGCAGATAGGGATTAGATATTTGTTTTAAAGGTATCTTGTTGTAGAACATAGTGATGAATTATTGTGTTGCTTGTTACCAATCTTTGGTCATTTGTATATAGGAGAAAACTTATATATACTTTACCTTTTGTCTGACCATGTGGATTTTAATCCACCATTGACCACATGGTGTGAATGAGTTGAGGCCTAGTTTCATTGTTTGCTACCATTTGCATAGGAAAAGACTTTTCACTAAACTAGTTCACCAGGTTTTATTGCTAAATTTGACCCTGCTTGTGTACTAATTTACATTTGTTTGGCATTCATGGATTTGTCTAGTAAATTAGTAGTTAAGAAAAAGATACGTTTAGTAAAGCAGATTCAGTGAATAATAGATTTATGTGTGCGTATACACAGAATATTAGTATAAATATATATATGATTTTGACTCATGAAGGAGAGACCACCTTTTTAACAGCTGTGTGACCATGCTTTTCAGCTACAGCTGGGGGAGAATTTGTCCTTGTTGGGGGTGGGTAGTCTTGCCTGTATGAGAAAAAATAAACTGCATTGTTTTGTAAATGTAATTGCCTAAACTAATCAATTTGTGGAGTGTTTTTCAGCTTTATTATCCAGGACTAAGGAATTACTGGACATATGCAGGAACTGGTAACAAATGAACTGAAAAAATGGTAAAATAATTCCTTTGTCCTATTTAGTCTGAATATTTTAACAAGTTAGCATTTTTAACAAAGTAAGTGTAGGGGCTCAGATTAAGATTTATATTATTTTAGAAGCCATCTATAACTGATTTTAATATTTCCATGCTTTGAATTAGGGTGTATCTGCCTAGCGGGTGAACCTCCATAACGTGGGCTGTGATTTTTAGTTACAGTAGCGGGTGGGGAACCTGAGCTAGGGGGTATTTAAACGTGTCCGGATAAGGGGGAGCATACCCAATAGTTGTTGTGCAGTTCTATCCTGTATTATTATTTGAAACCCTGTATTACTTATAAGTAGCGTTTTGTAACTTATTTGTAATTGTTTATATATATTGCTCTGGGAAAGGGATAGGCAAAATCTCTGAGAGACCAGGAAATATATTTAAAAAAAGGGTGTATTACACTAGTGGTAGGGTGGCCTATCATGACCATAGAGACCCTTGGTGACTAGTTTTTGTTGTATATTGCCCTGGGAAGGGGATACGCTATTTAATAGAAATTCCTGAGAGACCAGGAAATATACAATAAGTGATACGTGAGTGTACTGGTTAAATTGCAGACATATTGGCCCAGAACCTTTAATCGAGCCGGAAAAGAGGCTGCTGTATGTTTGCTCCTCTATAATTTTGCGGGGGCGGTCACCCCCATGCGGAAAGCCACTGCCATCACAGGGTGGTTAGTTGTGCAGGCCCTTAGCCGCGAGGTGCAAGCATGTCCGTGGAAAGGCTAGAAATTAATAGGGAGTCACTCATAGCTGTCAGAAGTGTTGAACTTTGAGACATATTGACCTATATCCTTTCAGAGGCGGAAGAGGTGTTGTGGTTCACTCCTCTATAATTTAACCAAAGGGTGGAAAGTTATTAAACATGTTTAAGTTGGCTAGAAATCTGTTACTCATAAGTCCATTTGAAATCCTGTATTGCTTAAAAGTTTGTGTCAGTTTTATATTGCCCTGGGAAGGGGATTAGCTATTGTTTATCCCTGAGAGACCAGGAAATATAAAATAAGTAATACGTGGGTGTATTGTGTATCTGTCTAACAGGTGAACTGCCATAACGTGGGCTGTAAACTTAGTTACAGTAGCGGGTGGGGAACTTAGGCTAGGGGGTACTGAGCATATCTGCCTAGCGGGTGAACTGCCATAACGTGGGCTGTAAACTTAGTTACAGTAGCGGGTGGGGAACTTAGGCTAGAGGGTACTGAGCATATCTGCCTAGTGGGTGAACTGCCATAACGTGGGCTGTAAACTTAGTTACAGTAGCGGGTGGGGAATTTAGGCTAGGGGGTACTGAGTATTGGACTTTTAGTGTTGTGTACTCCTGAATTGCAAGGAAGATGCAGAAAGCAGCTATTAGCTGATTGTTTATTTTAAGAGCCGAGTAGAAAAATTAAGAAAGTTACCTTGTTGAACAAATTGTTTATAAAATGAAAAGCTGAAGGAATGTGTTTACATGTCTGTGTGTGTATATATATATATATATATCTAAGTAAAATATTTGCAGTATACGCTATAAGTGACTAGGAAAGTAATCCTGATCTGTTTCCTAACCTTTTCAGATGTAGCAGAAACCAGAGGTGGACATTGGAACACAGATAGAATATCAGATGGAGACCAGTGTTTAAATGTTGACCTTTGATGAGCTATTGAATGTTTTATTTTATTGTCTATTTAACATGTCTATGCTATGATTTTGTGCATACTATTCTCTTATTTCTAGTGATTGTATTGCAATTGAAACCCTTATGTATTATTATTGTTGTATGTATGTATGCTTGCCTGGGAAAGGGGGGAATTGACCCACAGGGACCAGGGGGTATTTTTGTGTAAACCAAACTGGGGTGGGAGGGCTCTAACGAGGGAACCCCATTGTCCAGTAGGTGCTTGATTTGTGTCTGTGTAAAGTGCATGAGTGGTTGCAGTTAAAAAAAACAAACAAAAAAACGGAAGAATAAGAGAATGATAAGAGAGGATAAGAGAAAGTAGGCATTTTGGGTTATCTATACATGTTTAAATAGAAGGGTGGTAAATAGGAATGTAATTGTTTTGGTTAATGTTTACATTAAATTGGTTAAATACAGCAGTGATAACGAGTGTTTAGATTAAATTGGTAAATGCAGCAGTAATAACGATTGTTTGGGTTAAATTGGTAGATACAGCAGTGATATTGTGTTTATCTGAATCAGGAGTGTGCTGGATGTGAAGAGAGGTGTGTAGGTATTTATCCAAACGCCATAGGAAAAAATATGGTTAAGACACCACAGTCAAATGGTACTTGTGATGATTGGCACAGTTATTATTTATGTTTGTGTTCGTCATTGCCTGTGTTTTCATTCAAGAACTTTCAAGCAAGGATATTTTAAGCAGAAGAAGAAGAAACACTGGACACTATGCTCAACTGTTGCTGTAAGGAGAAAAAATATTGCAGCTAAGAGTGGTGAGAGTCGGAACAAAATGCATCAGGAGCAGGAAACTGTTACGTCAAGGTGGTTAATGGTATAAAGAAAGAAAAAAACAAAACAATGTGACCACAAACACACAAAAGTCCTTGATCACATGAACTGTTTCATTCATTCCTGTCTCCATGCGTATGTTCTATGAGACTGTCGAAGAATAGAGTATCCAGTTTCCAGGACTAATGTTTGTGAAAATTCCAGGCACACAGACCAGCCAGAGGCTACAGAAATCGTGTCGGTCTGTGCCATGATTCATAGGTGTTATGAGTTTGTGGTGTCTAATACTATATTAAGCTCCAAAACACATCCTCACATGAACACAATATCATTGGTTAATCTAATAAAACATGGTTTGAGTTGTCTATTATTACAAGGGTGGGTATTTGCCTATTTAAGGCCAAGGTTTCCCAACTGCTAATGCATGTGCTCAGTGGTTATTATAAGGGTGGGTATGTGCTTATTTTAGGCCAAGGTTTCCCAACTGGTGATGCATGTGCTCAATGAAAAAAAATAAAAATAAAAATTGAATAAGCAATAAAGTGTCATAACTTTACGGGTAAATGGGTATCATTCTTCAAAAGGTGGGTTTTGTTGTAGGGCAGGTACTGTTAAAATAGGGTAGATTCAAGATGTACGGGTTTATAATGTTTGTTTTATAACATAAGTCAAAGGGTGGTTTGTAATGGTATTTATTAATTAATGACTTTTTGTCATAAAAAAAAGCATAATGAGCTTAATACTTTAGACGCACCACTAGATGTCAGTAAAGCATATTTAGTGTAATGCTTTGGGGGCACCACTAGGAGGAGTGTGTAGGAAGACCTGTGCTTCTGGCAGTGACATCACAGGCCAGCCTACTTACACTGAATAAAAACCAGATGTTAGGAGAAGCTAGCTCTCTCTTTTTGCCTGTACCTGACTGATCATGTAGTACCAGCTCTGACTTAACCCCAGCCAAAGGGCTGGGGCCTTGTAAGTAAAATGTTGTGTAACATGTAGCAACCTTTTGTAAGTAATATGTTGTAGTTTTGTATTGTATAATTATTGTAGTAAATTGACATTCTGCTAGCATCTGTTTATTTATTATAGTTATATTAAATATACATTTAATATTACAACGTTTTGTGTATTTTCTATCCACATATTCGACCATAATACCATGAATTATAAAAATATTAATGTTATTCCGTATTGCTTAATTATTATGTATTAAGAGATTAATATTCATATTTAGGTCACGACCGCAACAACTTCTGTGGCTGGTAAAATATTTGAAAGGTTATTAAGGGATAATATTTAAGAATTCCTTGAGAAGAACATGGTTATCAGCAAAAATCAGCACAGTTTTATGAAGCACAGGTCATGTCAAACTAAATTGATTGCGTTCTAGAAGAAGTAAGTAGAAGTATAGATCAGGCAGTTGCCATGGATGTGATCTATTTGGATTTTGCCAAGGCATTTGATACAGTTCCACACAACAGATTAGTGTTCAAACTCAAAGAAATCGGTCTAGATGAAAATGCTTGTTCTTGGGTAGCACATTGGCTTAAAAACAGAGTACAAGGAGTTGTCATTAATGGTAAATTTTCAAGCTGGACAAAGGTGGCAAGTGGTGTCACTCTGGGGTGTGTTCTGGGACCCCTTCTATTTAACATGTTTATAAATGATCTTGAAGACCGCATTGAAAGTCATGTTTCAGTGTTTGCAGATGACACAAAACTTTGTAAAACAATACAATGTGAGCAAGATATTACTTTGCTGCAGAGGGATTTAGATAGACTGAGGGACCGGGCACTCAAATGGCAGATTAAATTTAATGTTGAAAAATGCAAAGTTATGCACTTCGGCGTAAAGAATACACAAGCAACGTATACCCTTAATGGAAGCGAATTAGGGATAACAACACATGAAAAGGACTTGGGAATTGTTATAGACAACAAACTATGCAACAATGTGCAATGTCAATCAGCAGTGGCCAAGGCCAGTAAGGTATTGTCATGCATGAAAAAGGGCATTCATTCTCGGGACAAGAATATCATTTTGCCTCTTTATAAATCACTGGTAAGACCCCATATTGAATATGCTGTGCAATTTTGGGCACCTGTTCTAAAGAAGGATATTATGGCACAAGAAAAAGTGCAGAGGCGGGCTACAAAACTAATAAAAGGAATGGAACATATCGGCTATGAAGAAAGGTTAACAAATTTAAACCTATTTAGTTTAGAAAAACGTCGCCTGAGAGGGGATATGATAACATTATACAAATATATTCGGGGCCAATACAAACCATTGTGTGGAAATCTATTCACAAACCGGACTTTACATAGGACACGAGGCCATGCGTTTAGACTGGAAGAAAGAAGATTTCGTCTAAGGCAAAGGAAAGGTTTTTTTACTGTAAGAACAATCAGGATGTGGAATTCTCTGCCTGAAGAAGTGGTTTTATCAGAGTCCATCTTTCAATGTAGGGTAATAACTGCTTGATCCAAGGATAAATCTGACTGCCATTCTGGGGTCAAGAAGGAATTTTTTTCCTAGCTTGTTGCAAAATTGTGCTTCAAACTGGGGTTTTTGCCTTCTTTTGGATCAACAGCAAAAAACAAATGTGAGGTAGGCTGAACTTGATGGACGCAAGTCTCTTTTCAGCTATGTAACTATGTAACTATGGTTGAAAGGGAAGGAAACTATAGTTGTTTTCCAAGCACTATGGCTCCCTTCCTTGCGGCCCCATTCATCACTTACCTGATTCCAGTTCCAATGCCCCTTGACGCTGGTTCACGCTCCGTCTCTGCTTCTCCTCTGTTGACGTAATCAGGCAGAGGGACCTAATGCGCATATGTGTTGAGCACCGTGATCACATTAGGAATTCCCCCATCCAATCACAGTCAATCAAGGGGAATATTCAGCATTGCTTCTTGCATGATAGGTTGGATTCAATAGCTGACGTTGCAAAAAGATCCCTACCAGAGGAGTTGGATTTTTTTCTAATTTGGCTAACTAGGCCAGCATTTTGCATTGCTTTAACCTATTCTCATGGGTAGTCCCAGAAAGCTGCCATCCATATTAGACTTGTGGAAGGCGCAAAATATGTTTTGGGCAAACCATTTTGCCTGAACATAAAATACATTGGGACACCCAATTTTGTCAATAAGTAGTTCAGCTTGTCTGAATTTCTTTAACAAAACAGATTTGGAAAAACATATGTGTAGTGTGGCAGACCTCCCTGCTTCTGGATTATTATTTAACCCCTTAAGGACTGAGCCAAATGTACACGTTGTGAACAAACCAAATGTAAACAAAACCTGGCATTTGCGCTACATCTCTGTCCAACCATAATTCACCTCTTTCATAGTAAATGCACCCACCCTTATTATATATCATGTTATTCAGGGGAAACATGGCTTTCATTTAATATCAAATATTTAGCTATGAAACAAAATTTAATATGAAAAAAATGGGAGAAAATAAGAATTAGTTTTTTCGTTCTACATGACATTTTAACTGTCAATGTCATAATACTGTTTGCCTTTACTGCAATAAAATACACATATTTGTATTCAGCAAAGTCTCACGTGTAAAACAGTACCCCCTATGTACAAGTTTTATGGCGTTTTGGGAAGTTACAGGGTCAAATATATAAATTAGTATTTGTGTGTGAAAAACGCAAAAACTGCCAATTTTGGCCAGTGTTTGTGAATAAGTGACTACTAAAAAAGACTGGACATGACCCGTTTGCAATACCTTGGGTTGTCTTCTTTTGCAAATGGTATGCCATCATAGGGGTAAATTTCATTCTTGGGCTACCATAGGGTCTCAAAGGCAACGTAATTTTAATGTGGAAAAAAACCACAAGCCTTATATTTGACGCTGTAACTTTTGAAAACACCATAAAACCTGTACATGAGGGGTACTGTTGTACACGGGAGACTTCGCTGAACACAAATATTTGTGTTTCAAAACAGTATCGCAGCAATAATATCGTCTGTGTAAGTGCTGTTTGTGCGTGAAAAATGCAAAAAACATCACTTTTACTGGCGATATCATCGTTGTAATACATTTTACTGTTTTGAAACACTAATATTTGTGTTCAGCGAAGTCTCCCGAGTAGAACAGTACCCCCCATGTACAGGTTTTATGGTGTCTTTGAAAGTTATAGGGTTAAATATAGTGCTAGCAAATTAAATTCCCTTTACTTTCGACATGGGTTGTCAGGCAGGTCCCGCTAATTGTAATTAATTAAGATACCTAATTATTTTAAAATATTACATAAATATATATGTAGAATTAATATATGTATATATATATATACGTATGTGTATATATATATATATATTTTTTTTTTATTTTTTTTTAAATATATAGGTATATATATAGTGATATATACGTATATATTTATGTATATAGATATATATATATTGTTCTACGTGTATTTTGATATAAATATATATATATTAATATCACAATACAGTTAGAACGAAATACCACACATCTATATATTTAATTATTTATTTTTAATTATTTTTTTAATTTTATTTTTTAACTTATTTTAAATTTTTTTATATTATATATAAATATATACATAACAATAATTTTATATATATATTTAATCAGTCTACGTGTAATTTGATATTAATATATATATATAATTATATATTTGTTAGGACACCCCTGGTGTTTAGTTAAGCTTCCCCCTTCGCAATCTTACTATCTCCGTTCGCATCTACTGCTGTGTACGAACCACCATCAGGGGAAGCGGCAATCTCCCGACCGGGATCCATAAGAGGGCTCCAAACTACCGAACATAAATCCACGAATCGCCGCTAGCAAAGTGTATCCACCAAGCGGCTTTTGGCTCCAGCAATGAGTCCCTAGTCATCGGTAATAAATCCCCCCAATAACGAGACCAATCTCCGCATTGAGGGTAAAACAAGAACTGGCTTTACTGTGGGCTACCCGCCCGTATTTATGCAGGTCTCCCACTTGGTGGACACTCCCCTAGGGGACCAAATGGGAGACTGTAATGACAGACAGACATATGGCACTCTCAGACACACAGGCACAAAATATTCCCATAATGCATCCCGGTTTCCTCCCCTCTGCCCTGGAGACAATTGAGAAGCAATTCAGTTATCTCCAGGACAGAGGCAAATCGCCATTTTAAGTAAGACACAAAAAACACATGAAAATAAATAACTACACAACTACCGAACATAATCCATTCGTGCAACGTATCCCCAGATAGCCTGGATCTGAGTGCATATTCTTAGCAAATAGCGCTCAGATCCCATATGCACAGTTCAATCGCCATGGAGCCAAAGTCTCCTACAGTCTTTCGGTATGCGATTGACTCCGTGGGATGGCTATCTGGGCTAAGTCCATTCGTATAATCCAAACTCCCGAACGGCCGGTGTTCGCATGCCTTGTCGACTGAGAAGGGTGGTCTGCGGGTTTCAGCGGTGTTCGGCAGAAAGAGTGTCCATTTTTAGTTCCATAGAATCTGCGCTGAACACCGCTGGTCTTTCGCATGGTTTAAAATGGCCGCCGCCTCGTGGTCGATATACGAACGACGACCACCCTGTATTCGGTTGTAATTAAGAGGTGTCTGCAGTTAACCACAACGTTCTAATTGGGATCAAATGGTTAACCAGCAGCACACTCCTCTTCTGGGTGGCCGTCCGTTCAGTAAGTTCATTCGGTAGATAAACAAAAAGACGAATAGGGGCATGCGAACGGGCAAGTCCACAAAAGGAAGGCAAGCTAGACGAACCAGCAATAATAGTCATACCGATGGGTCTGTCAAATACAAATACACCTATGTATGTGTGTGTATGTATATGTGTATATATATACACTTAGATCATATATATATATAATATATATATATATATGATCTAAGTATATAATTATTTTTTTTACACTTATTTTAACATAATTTTATTTGAATTCAGCCAGCAGGGGGACTAACTGTCATAACAGGCAGTCCCCCTGCTGGCAATGCAGCAGCCAGCTAACCCAGCCATGTGATTGTGAGGTCCTCGCAAGGACTTCACTCTCACATGGCCAGGGGGAGGGCTGCAGGAGGTTGGATGTGCCGCGGGGGCTCCCTGGGAGTTCCCCCAACCGCGACCATGCTGGTGACCGGGTAAGTAAAAAAAACGGAGGGCGTACTATTACGCCCAGCGGCGTTTAGAGCCGCCTAAAATAGGGCGTAATAGTACGCCCTCCGGTCTTAAGGGGTTAAAGACTATTTTGTCTGTTTGTTCGTCAGTCCCCAGTTGTTCATTTGTTTCCTGATTATATTCCCTAAAAGACGAATGAACTACCGAATGGCGGGCCATCCAGCAGGGAAGTGTGCTGCTCGTTAACCTTTCTGACCTTATTAACATTGTGGTTAACCGCAGCCACTTCCAACTCCCGAATGGCTGGCTGGGTGAGCGCTCAGATTTAAGCTATCTGGGGATATGTCGAACGGGGGTTCCGTTCGGTAAAATAAGAATTATAGATTTTTATGTGTTTTACTGTTATTGTAAAATGGAGGATATTTTCTATACCTGGAGATAATTGAGTTACTTCAAGGCTCTTAACCCAATTATCTCCAGATTGGATTGGATATTGTAAACCTGTCTCAGTCTTCCACAAGAGTGTCCCTTGCTGGAATACCTGCATAAAAGGCTGACATGTAGCCCCCATTAAACAGATCCTGCTTGACTCTCAACACAGAGCCTTGTCTCGTGCTTGGGGGGATAATTCGTATGATTCCTGTTCGGAGCTTAGGAGTGTTCGGTAGCTGACTTCGCATTCGGGGAAAAGAACAACTTTGGCGGCATTAACCCCTTTTATACCCGGGGTGCCGTTACATATAGATTTAGATGTAGGCCAATCCGTGTAATGCTAAATATATACACACTAAAAATATTACGTATATTTTTCCTAGTACACACAAAAGTAACCATTAGAGGGAAAAAGAGGAGGCTCAGTAAAAATATGTATTTATATATTATATATTCAATAAATATATAATATACAAATATATAAATATTGTGATTTTTAGTGCTGCTCCTTTTTTGGTTACTTTTCACTCTGTGAATAAAATCAGCATTTAGTTATTATCCCCTAGCCATCAATCATCTTTTTTCCCCATCAGTGATCTCTTTTTTACACTATGGGTGGAATTCAGAATCATGAATCAAAATTAACATGCTCATTCATACATTTTGTTTAGTTTGTGATTCAGCTACATTTCGGCTTGGTGTTTGGGAATTTGAGCGGTCACCCAATCAGCCCAAAGTCGAATGAATTGCAGTTCATAAGGAAACAAATATCCACGTCTAATCTTTTTTTTTTCATGTATAATTTTTATTGAAAATTCTTGCAGGTTAATTGCAAATTACTTTGTTTCTTACATGCTACATGTCATACATTTCGGACAACATTACATATTACACATTGCACACGTCACATTTATCATACATTGAATAACTATATTAGAGGTACAACAATAAGTCACCGCCATCCAATTGATAGTCAACTGTTGCGTTGCTGTGCTATGGATTGTATCAGTAACCCTGCATATCATCTAACTCGCGTATGGACACAACATGGAATACAACGAGATATATAAATAACTTTAACCAGTTCTAACACAACGTTTAACCCCTTCAGGACCAAACTTATGGAATAAAAAGGAATCATGACATGTCACACATGTCATGTGTCCTTAAGGGGTTAAAGCCAGTAGACCCCTATCCTGCCTGTGCTCGATTCCCAACAGTGTCTAGCTGTAAAACAATGTGATTTACCCCCAAACCTTGATTATGACACTTGACTCTTGTAAAA